GCCTGACGATGAATGACCGAAAACGATCGTTTGCCAACACGACTTTTCGACCGTGTGATAGTTCGACCATCGATTTAAATGATGTCCACCAGATGCCCAAGAGCAGGGATGGTAACTGTAGTCAGACATAGTGAAATTAGACGAGCAACTATCTACCACACTCTAAACCCTCTTCTCGCTTGAATCGGTGACAATACAGAGTCGAGATGACCGAGCAGAAATCAGGCATAAGCCGCTTTCTCCAACGCAGGCCATAATCACCGCCTAAATTAGCCTTAAGTGACAGTAGACTTTGCGCAGGTAGTACTGCACTACCTACCCTCACTCACCTTCAGCAGTTGTCCAAAAAGACTCAAGGACACCGAGTCTGATATTGCTACTCCTGCCTCTAATATTTATAGTGCTGCTTACTAGCAGTGTAACTGAGTGGTAATAATGGTGATAGTATTACTGACGCTAATAACTGGTCAGAAATGACAGTGGTTAGAGTTGGCGCTGCGCTCGTGTTCCCTTGACCCCACCTAGGCATTTGGACATGGATTTATGCTATTCCGAGTAAAGTAGAGGTTTGAGACTCGGTGCACATCAGTGGGTGTCAAGACAGATTCAAAAAAAACGGAGGCTGGTACAGTTACTGCTATTTCTCTACTACTACTACTACTACTACTACTACTACTACTACTACTTCTACTACTACCACTAATTAGGAGTGTAACTGAGTGTTAGTAATACGAGCACTATTTCTAACGTTAGTATTTGTCCGAATTACCACTGATTAAGGTCAATGCCGGGCTCATATCCCCTCGATCTGAACAGAGAGGTTGAATCTGGGTAAATACATGTTTAATGCGTTATGATCAAGGACCCCAACACACAAATGCACCGGAAACTACTGCTTTTTTTTATCACACTTCAGACAAAGATGGTCAAAGATACCTAACACTAGCTTGACTCTAATTTTCTCGTCTACCTTCAGGACAGTTTGTAGTGAAAATTGTCCCCCTCACTCAACAAATGGAACACAGAAGGCCCTTCTATGCCGACTGTCGTCTTTCACCACGACCATCTGCACCTGTTGACTACACTTGGTACTTCCAAGGTAGAGTTTTCTCTGGCGGTGAACGTCTCAGAATTCCTGAACTCAACGAGAACACCATCGGTGACTACACCTGTGAGGTACGGTTCAGGCCGACAGATGGTTCGGCTGTCGAGGGGAAGGCGACTATTTCTCTGCGGTACAATTCTTTACCTTCGGATGCTCTTCCTGGTGAGTTTATGCTTCGTTTGATCACTTTTATTTTAAAAAAAACGCCTGGCTACCTATTACATAACGTATACGTTACTGACTTTGCCCTCCATAAGGTATTCCCAGACGTATCGTGAAAGTTACTTTAGGAAACTAGGTGCAACGGAATAGAGACCCGGCCGTCGCGGGTGGCAGAAATGCGCATTTTCCAGCGATAATTCTGCAAATCTCAATGTCATTATATGCTCATTTCCAAAAATAAACCGAGATCCTTAAGACGGTCTTATGAAGGGTTTTATGTAGAGATGATGTGGACAGACAATCAATGCAATTTGGACTTACTACATACGTACCGGCTGAACAGAGGCATTTGCGAGCTATCACGCCAAAGGGAATAATTTGAAACAGAATGAAATTTACGCAGTCTTACCTGATTTCTTCGCTTTTAAGATCCACAGAACTACCGGGTGAGTATTAATACGCTAACCGAAAGACCTGCACGAGGATCACCCTACTATGCAGACTGTCGCCTCCAACCACAGCCCCCTTCGCCAGTTCGTTTCACCTGGTACTTCAAGGGGCGCTACCATTCGGAGGGTCAGCGGCTCAGCATCCGCGAACTGAATGAGTACACCGTCGGCGATTACACCTGTCAAGCAAAGATCACCTCACCCAGTGGCGGTCTACTGACCGTGAACGTAACCAAGTCCATCTATTTCGCCGCAGCGCCTTCGCCAGAATCCGCAGGCACGTTGCTTTCTTCATGTCAAAGCTTCTATTGTATCAGAGTACGTTTGAAAAATAGTGTTACTATTGCAGCCTTTTGGGATCATCGGGAGATTTTTCTTGATGAAAAATAGCGCATTAGTCGCCACTGTACTGACATAAACGAGGTAGGCACGAAATCCCTGCCTAGATCCTTACCACCAACAGTGTCACAACTTTTAAACATTCAACCAAGTGATACTTCAGTATTTGTGTTTGCTTTAGAGAGTTATTTTGTTTTCGTCTTGAAGGCCTACGCTTCTTTTGACAATAAACCCCTCATGGTTTTTAGTGATGAGATGTGAACGGTAGTATGGTTACTTAGTGTACGCAGGTTCCTTTACGAAACTTGGAGTGCAGTTAGCTGCCGTTTTTGCCTTCGTCTGTTAGCTATCAACCACCGCTTTACTTCGAAATTGGTCCCCCTTTTCAACACCATCTTCGTGGCGGTGAGGTGAACCGCATGACCAATTGGGACAGTTTTTAGAATTCGCTTATATTCGTGTCTGTGCACTCCGACGATGCGTTCAGTCCGATCTGTGTTATTATAAGGATGCTTTAGGCCAAAGAAAAAATGGTGTCTCATCTCCATGGCCATTATCAATTTTCGGCCAGTGGATACTATCAACATGCAGTCGGTCAAGTCGTTAACTTAAAAGTACATTTGCCCTACATTGTATGCTATATCAGCGCTGGTGTTATCCATGGCATCCCCGGGAGGCAATCACGCCATCGAATAGCCATTCCATGTAAAGTGTTTTCGGAGGTGTTAGGCCTCACAGGACATTTCTTCTGCGTTACCGCAGTGAGTTTAATCATGTTAACCATTTTGCTCATAGCCTCGTTTGTGAGCCACAAGAAGTTAACTGTGGGAGCTGAGAAGCTATGTGATGTTCGTGGCCCACGTGCTAACTATTGTCTCTAGTTCGTCATTGACATTTCGTATTCCAGCGCACCAATGAAGGCCAGCTGGTGCTCTTTTTTATCCTCTCCTGTGAACTGGATATCCTAGAGGATTGGCATAAACAGGCTTCCGAAATTCTGCGGTATGTTATTCCTGTCGATACAAATGCATCTTCAACGAAACAGCGCCAAATGAGTGGCTTCTCTTGCATACAATCAGTTTTTGTAGCCCTTGTAGGAAAGTCTCTGCCACTTAACCAGAGATTTCAGATGCCATCGGATATCCCTTATCTCCTAATAGACGTTTCGCCCAAAGCGGAAGTTCGCCTTCTTGGCAAAATAGTTGGCCGAGTGGATCATTGAAATCTTCCAAACGCCTAATAATAGAGTCTGGTGCATTCTCGCTTGATCGCTGCAGAAATCCTGCTTGGGCTGTCAGCGGACAGGGATTTAGAATTGGTGGATTATATACGTTGCAGCAGGCTGGGTGGGTAAATCGATCAAAGTTTGATTAAGATCTCGGCTCCCAGTGGGGAATCGATAGCTCAGGTAGCTAGAGCTTTGGTTGTACAAAAGCCTTCCCTTGCTTGCAAGGGTTGGAATGCATCCGAGGTCCCCGTCCTTTTCACAATTGTGTCAAATTAATTATCTAACTAATTATGAAACTGTCAAGGAATATTGGTGAGGGTAAAACGGCAGTGACTGATTTGCTATAGACCGTACGCATACGGGTGCCCCTTCAAGATGATTTTATTTTGTCAGATAGCGCATCAGATATTGTACCAACCGTCACCATCCTTTGTCGCCGTTGTAATATCCATAACAGAAACCAGTAAACGACTGCCAAAATTAAGGTCAATCCCTCTTATCTGATTTCGGATGTCAGTGTGAATTTTGTGCACAGCACAAAGAATTTTTAAATCATCATGTGTAACTTTCCTGGTAATCTAACATGCATGAGAATAAATGCAAAAGGTCCTGACTGCTTTAGTATCGCACTTATATGCAACGAATTAGTAAAGGTCAATTGAAAGCGATTCGTAAAAAAGGTGAAGCATATTTACTTCCTGTTTTAAACTGTAATAATCTGTCATTTACGGAGTTCAAAGGCATTCGCCTATTTTTTCCCTCAGTAAACTTATACTTATTTAAGTAGTAGAATGGAAAATAGGATTTAATAACTCTCCTGTTGTAAAACTAAATTTTGTCTGCTTTCTACACATTAATCCCCAATTTTATAGAAATATGTCATCAAGCTCGTCTTCAAAGAAAGCAGACACTGCCGCCTCTGTTGTTTTTCGCATAGGTGATTTGAAGGACAGACTTAAAGAAGGCTTTCAGAAAGGCAAATTAAGCTAACGAACACCTTTAAGTAGCCAATCAGTACTTAGAAAGGGGGGTTGCTAATGGATCAATGGGTCAGCTTCTAGTCATAACAGGCGACCAATGAGAAGGAAGGGAGGAAGGAAGAGAGAGGGTTGGATAGTAATTTCAGGTTGCTCCGTCGTCACTGTCGTCACGTAATGGGAGGCGTTAGGACACATGGTGTCTCAGGAGCATGGGGATGCATGCTGTCACCGTCTCATCGTCTATCCTCCATTATATTACTGTATTTGCCTGATGATGAATAGGCGAAAATGTTCGTTAGCTTAACGTGACATCCTGATAACTTGCATGAGCATCATCGCTGAATATAAAGAAGGCGTAATTACTACCGTTATCAACCACTTCCAGGTCTGACCTCCGGAAACCTGAAATACAGATGTGGAGCCGTATCGCGTCCAAGTAACAAATTAAAACAAAAACAAATGCAGGTTGGGAATCATGCCGAGTTTTTTTAGTTTAAACAGACGAAATAACCAATGGAAAAAACAGAAACCATATGAGGCAGATATTGTACCGCATAACTTGGTGGAAAAGATTCAGTTTCCAATCATAGTATTGTATTTTTAGCAAGATCCTTGAGATATAGTTACAAAAACCGTAATATTGATAAAAAACCTTTTCGTGAAACCTCAGCTCAAACATAATTGAGTACTAGCATCAAAGCCACTCCCTTTGGTAAATGTACCAGAATCTACTGCGTATTCATCACACGTCAGGCATAGCTAGTCGAAGTTCCCTTACACTAGCTTGGCTCCCAAATTCTCGTCTGCTCACAGGACAGTTTGAATTGAGCATTGTCCGCCTCTCTCCACAAATGGAACACAGAAGGCCCTTCTACGCCGACTGTCGTCTCTCACCACGACCCTCTGTACCTGTTGACTACACTTGGTACTTCCAAGATCGAGTCTTTTCTCGCGGTGAACGTCTCAGAATTCCTGAGCTCAACGATAACAACATCGGTGACTACACCTGTCAGGCAAGATTCAGGCCGGCAGGCGGTTCGACTATCGAAAGGATGGCGAAAATTTCTCTGCGGTACAATCCTTCACCTTCGGATGGTCATACTGGTGAGTTCATGATTTGTTTGATCATTGTTCACCTGGCTACCTACTCCATAACGTACGCGTTTCTGCCTTTGCCCCCCATAAATTACAGCTAGAGGTTTCGTGAAAGTCACTTCTGTAAACAAACTGCTACGGGGAAGGGAGACCGAGGTCACAGATGACAGAAATGAACATGTTCCCGTAATGTGCCTGCAAACCTCAATGGCAATATGTGCTCATTAGTAAAACGAACTCGAGACGATTGAGGCGTTATTTTAAGGAGTTTTATGTTGAGATTCTGTGGACAGATAACAAATGCTGTATATATTATGTACCTACTGAATGGGGACATTTACAACCTACTAGGAGAAGGAAAAAATTTGAAGCAAAACTATATTTGCGCAGAATTATCTGCTTTTTTCCCTTTCAAGATCCACAGACCTACTGGGTGAGTATTAACCCGCTGACTGAAAGACCTGCACGAGGCTCACCCTTCTATGCAGACTGTCGCCTCCAACCGCAGCCCCCTCATCCTGTTCGTCTTACCTGGTACTTCAAGGGACGCTA